AAACACTTTCTACTTTATGAGGCCAGCCTAACACTGATATAAAAAAATCACCAAAAAAAAAAAAATTTAGATCTATATCCTGATGAATATAGACAAAATGTTTTTTAAAATTCCATATTATCAATTGGAATTCAGCAGTATATAAAGGGACCATTTATTATGATCAAGTGGGTATATTCCAGGAACACAAAGTTGGTTATACATTTCAGTGTGAAAATACAACTTACCATATTAAAGAATACAAAGAAAACTCTTTAAGTTTATTTCAACAGATGTGGAAATGTTTGACTAAATTTCATACACATATATGATGAAAACTCAGAAGACTTAATCCATAATCTGATAAATGATGTGTTTGGAAAACATACAGTTTGCATCATATTTAATGGTGAAATATTGACTCTAAATTTGGTTGATTCTTACCACTTTTATTTAACATTATATTATGTAAGTATAATAAGGCAAGAAAAAAAGAGAAGGCATACAGATTGGAAAAAAAGATGTAACACTATTTGAAGATGGCTTGCTTCTTTCATCAAAAAACAAGTAACACCCCTCTCACTCCACCAACCCAAACAAAAGATTATCTCCCTCAATCTAAGAGCCTTCCTAGTGTCTTCTGGTGGTTTACATGGTAGCAGAGACTTCAGAGCAAACTTGTTGAACCTGAGGCCCATGGGCTGCATGCGGCCCAGGCAGCTTTGAATGTGGCCCAGCACAAATTCATAAACCTTTTAAAAACATTCTGGCGTGTGCTGTGTCCCACACTGCACAAGGGTTCAAAGACTAAGACGGAACGGCATGGGATAAAGAAAGACATACAGACAGATACAGATATAGCTGGGCCAGGTGGTCCAAAAAGCTGATGGTGTCAGTCTCTTTGGCCCCATCCTGCCTCAGAATACTTTATTTTCTATGTTCACAAAGCACATACCAGAGGGAGGGTGCAGTTATCCAGAACAATCTGTGGTTGTAATTCTCATACTTCAGTTAACATACCTCAGCTAACAACTATCTTGCAGCAATGTCAGTGAAAGCTGGTTATCTTTCGCTAGGTCCGACTGCTCTTCTCCGAGACATACGCATTCCCCTATTATGGTTTCATTTCTCTTGGAGTTCACCCAAAGTTCACAGCAGCCTTGCTGTTGACCCCACGGAGGGGATGGGCTACTCTGGCTCTCTACAAAACATTATGAGATTTTTTTTGCAATTTTTATTTTTATTTTGTTAGCTTATCAGCTATTACTCTATTTTACATGTGGCCCAAGACAATGCTGCTGCTTCCAATGTGGCCCAGGGAAGCCAAAAGATTGGACGCCTCTGCTTTAGAGTCAGTGAGACTTGGTTTCAGATGCTAGCTGTTCCTTAAAATGATACCTGTCTTACAGTTGCACATATTAAGGATTAAAATAGATAATGTATATAAGTATTGATTCTATGGCATTTGGCCAAATGTTAGTGCTCATATAATGATAGCAGTGAAACTATTATCACTATTCAGTCTTCCTTCTCTCCTTGTCCATATTACTTTAAAGAATAGAATATACACAGTCTTCACTGACCTTTCCTTTACTCCTAAGACATGTATTCCATGAACACTATCCTTTTGAGTAATTATCTGATTATTCTGTCAATAGAATATACACAGTCTTCACTGACCTTTCCTTTACTCCTAAGACATGTATTCCATGAACACTATCCTTCTGAGTAATTATCTGATTATTCTGTCAATGACATGTTTTTAATACATCTCTGTTCTGATAGGTATAAAGTATCTCTGTCAGACTTACAACTTCCAAATTTTAATTTCTTTATTCCCTTATAGTGTCTACCCTCAAAACCATTTTTCTTTAGAGCATTCTATTTAAAATGTAAAATTTGATTTCCACCACTTTTCTCAAAACACTGTGCACTTTTCTTTCCCTAGAGGCTAAAGATAGAACTCATAACGTAGCGCATCTCTACCTGACTGCTCGCCTGCTACGTATACAGATTTAACCTCTCACCTCTCCCTACACTGCTGAAGAGTGTCTTCTTCCTTATATCCCCCCATTGCTCTCCATATTGTATTAACATTAGAACATTTAGGCACTATTTTAAGTGATTTAATGGTGTATTTGTCCTGCCCTACACTATGAGTCCTTGAGGGCAGGGACTATGCCTTTATTTATATTTTTATTAGCATTTGGCACAATTACTGAAAAGCAGCTGGCACTAACATATTGTTAGTGAATAATCAGTGAATAGAAGATCATTGTCAACCTGAAAGATTTTAATTTGTAAGAAAACATTTTTGACTTGGGGAATTAATTTATGCTTTAGTCTTAAAAATATATCAAACTTTGACTTTTCATTAGTTGCCTTATCATTATTGCATAAAATTTCATTCTTCTATTCAAAACATTGATGACATAGATTTATGTTTTGTGCTAGTATAAATTTTAGAATAATAAACGTCTGATATTAGCCACATCTTATAAAGTATTTTTGTGGGGACCAATAATTACATTGTATATATTTTTGTTCCCGAAATGCTTAATACATCACAATTTTGCAGTGAGCTAACATCTTTTAAGATGCCCAATGTGAATTTATTTCATTTCAGAAGCTGCTGAAATTTTTTCAACTTCTTTAAAATTCTGCTCAGGTTGTTTTAGTTTAAACACAGCTATTGAATTATTTTTTACCTAAAGTTATACTTGATTTGCTTGGAGTAGCATATCACATCTTGTCTTGATTATATGTGGTCCACATCATTTTATTTCTTAGGTGGAGAGAGGTTTCATAATCAATCAATTGAATTATTCATGTATAAATAATCCAAAAATGCACAATATACTAGTGACATGTGATTTATAAAGATTATATATATATTTTTTTCTACCAAAATAGACATTTATTAAAGGCTGTTTTTGGTAATCTTTCATGATTGTGGCAGAAAAGATTCTTTAAATATAAAATTATGAAAGGATTTACTTATGTTAGTATCCAAATATTGCTGGATTAATATTAAGGACACTAAAACATGTTTGGATATTTAAATTATAAAGCATTTTTAGCTTGTGTGTTTTGGTTCATCGATATTCTCAGGTTAAACTAAATTGGATTAAAAATAAAGCTATAATGAAATCTGTTTTATTAATCATCTTTCTAGTTAATACATGGTGATTAGAGAAGTTTATACAGTATTTTCCTGGGTGACTATGCATCCTCCAGCTTTTCTGCAGTTCATTTTATATATAATTAATAGACATATTCCTCAAGCATTCCTTCCTTGGCAGGTTTTTTTCTTCCTTTTCAATAGCATGTACTTCTCATGCAGTGTTCTCTTTACATAGGCATTCATTCAATGGCAACTAATTCATTATATTAGTTATTCTTTATGATAACTTTATTACTATTCAAATAGTTATTAGCTTTTAATAATGGATTATTTTCTTCTTGAATTGATTAGAAATTCATTCATCAATTCATGGAATATTGTATCTTAGGGAAAAAGATTTTAAAAAGTTTAATGTGAATTAATGTTTTATACAGAAATAGCCTTTATTAAAAACCACTGTATATTAAATATATTCATTATGTAGCTACTGTTATTTGTTAAATAGCATTGCATTTTGGTGTAATAAGGGAGGAGATAAAAAATGGACTTGACTTCCCAGGTCTTCATGAAGGATGTGGAACAAGGGTGTCGGTGTCAAATAGTGTCTGAAGATGATAATTTTTAATGAGTAACTTGAGTCTGGAAATAAGAAAATACAGATTATTTCTGCACACCTTTCTGAGTGTGTGTCTTTGGCCAAGCTACCTCACTGACCTCATTTTTTTTCATGTATTACATGAGATTGAATTAAGTGTTCTTTTTAATTTTCTCAATTTTCAAATTTCTAGTTCTAGTGAAATATCTCAGTATGTCTGGTTCTCGAAGTTTCTGAGTCTAGTAAAAATGTTTAGAAAATGTCAAGCAGAAAACTTTATAGTTGCAAGTAAGTACAGTTAATATAATGCAAGCAAAAGATGTAAGTATTGACAGAATATAGGGCTTCTAGATGTGGATGGAGGTAATTGGAAAGTCTTCGGAAAAGATGTGTCATATTTTGAAAGTGTATCAAGTGGGATAATGAGTAAGTGAAGGGCAGGAGAAGCGTGTTAGGATTTTTAAAAGTACGTATAGGTGGCAGCCTGTTGAAGGAGACCACAGCCAGATTTGATTGACTGAAGTGGTGACTTCATGCTGAGGAACACTAGGAAATGAGGCTTTTGAGACTGTGAAGAGAAGAATCTTGTCAATTAGTGAAGTGCCTTGAAAGTCATGCTAAGGAGTGTAGATTCTGATGTTTAGTGATGGGCAACCACAGCATGCTTTTGAGCTGGGGAGCCAAAGAATGAATGTGCCTGAGAAAAATATTCTAGTGGCGTTTAGTAAGATGCAATGAGAGTGAAGAGCTTAAAAATTTCATGGAGAGATTGGCAAAATTGCACCAGAAAAATGAACTAGCTTTGATAGGAAAAGCCATGGCTTTTAAAAATCAGCTATCATATTTAGGTTAGTGGGATTTTCAGCGAAAGTAGTTAAAAGATGGCCTTGCGGTCGGAAGGCAAAAATACATAGAATTTATTATTTTGCCCCAGAGCCCCTAAGTATTATTCTCTTGCATTTTCTTACATGTTGGATATGACAGTGCAAAGAATGAAAAAGGTGGATTATTGAATTTTTTGTCAGAACCAAACTTTTAAGAGACGTGATATTTTAAAGGATATTCCAAATTAATGTATGTGTGTAATGCTTGTTATATCATGCATTGTCAGCTTATAGATTTCACTGTGCATGTTAACTGTTTTGTACTTATCATATATGTACATATTTCAAATTAGTGGGAATTAGGTATATTTAAAAATTAGCCCTCAAAGTCACACAGATATAAAAGTATATTAATGACTCTCTGTGGATGTGGTTAACAAAAATGAATCATTTGAATGATTTTTTTCTTTCCCTCTAGTCTTTTTTAGCACTGGTGAGCTTGTTATCCTATCCTGCTATTTATGAACTGATAAGCAATCAAGAGCTTCCTAATAAAGCAGAATATTCTCTTCGTGAAGTCCCAACATGTGTTATTGTAAGTCATTTTCCTTGAATCTTTCTGTGTTATAAATGCTTCTATTTGAGATTGGTAGTAGAAATGCAATTTGACCAAAAAGAGAAAAAAGAAGCATTATGTCATGGCATTTAAGGGCTGATTTGATTAATCGTGCATGAATTACATCCACTTTTGAGTTTTCTGTGCATGGAATCTTTGATCCAGGTCACTGAGCACTCCCAACACCTGTCAGAATATGAGGCTAACTCCAACCAGGAAAGAGACTTAGCATAAATAGAAGTATATGTGTGAGTGATTTTTAAATGACTCATTACATTATTAGTCAAACCAGTGACGCTCCTTCTTTGGCTAGGATAATTAGGAATAAATTGTATCCAAGGAGTCCAGTATATTTTCTCCTTGTATTTTAATGAACTACATAGTATTGCCCCATGAGGGCAGTATATACAAATTTATTTCATTTGAGACCTATGTTGTACTAATACCCACACATGAGTAACTTGTTTTAAGCATTAAGGGATATTTAGTTCCTTGTCTTTGGGTACATTTATGAATTAAACACACATAAACATATGTATTTATGCATATAAGGATTAGCAAAGAGTTACTTGATACTGAAATTTCATTATTAATAATTATTTTTCATTTTCTGTTCACTTCGTCCTATGTAATATTGTTTTTATAAACATAGGTTTGCTCTTTTGAATACCTTTAAAACTGTTAACCCTAAATACTTGGATTTTAAAACTTGTATCTATTTTGGGAAACTTTTAATAACTAATATGACATGAAATACAAAGATAGGCACTTCTATCATTTAACATTAACTTAGATTATCTTATCTTCTTTTCAATTGTATTTGAAAAGAATGTGATGTTTTTCAATTGTATTTTGTGATTCCTTGTATGTTGGCACTTCTTAAGTACAGATATACCTCAGAATTATTGTGGAATCAGTTCCATACCATCCCAATAAAATGAAAACTGCGATAATGGAAGTCACATAAATTTTTTGTTTTCCCATATAAAAGTTATGTTTACACTGTACTGTAGTCTAAAGTGTGCAATAGCATTATGTCTAAAAAAAAGTTTATTGTTTAATTAAAAACATGTTATTGCTAAAATATGCTAATCATCATCTGAGCCTTCAGTGAGTTGTAATCTGTTTTGCTGGTGGAGAATCTTGCTTCATTGTTGATGGCAGCTGACTGATCAGTGTGTTGGTTGTTGAGGACTGGGGTGACTCTGGCAATTGCTGATAGTAAGAGAACAGTGAAGTTTACTGCATCAGTTGACTCCTTTCATGAAAGATTTCTCTGAAGCATTTAATGCTTTTTGATAGCATTTTACCCACAGTAGAACTTCTTTCAGAATTGAAGTCATCCTCTCAACCCAATCACTGCCTTATCAACTAACTTTATGTAATATTTTAAGTCCTTTGTTGTTATTTCAACAGTGTTCACAGCATCTTCACCAGGAGTGGATTCCATCTTTGCTCATCCATGAGAAACAACTCAACTCTTCATCTGTTTGAGTTTGATCTTAAGATTGCAGCAATTCAGTCACATCTTCAGGCTCCACCTTTAATTCTAGTTTTCTTGCTATTTCTACCACATCTGTAGTTACTTGTTCTACTGAAGTACTGAAGTTCTTTAAGTCATCCATTAGTGTTGGAATCAGCTTCTTCCAAACTCCTGATAATGTTATCTTTTGACCTCTTCTTATGAATCACAGATGTGGCATCTTAATGCTGAATCGTTTCCAGAAGTTTTTCAATTTACTTTGCCCAGTTCTGTCAGCAGAATCACTATTTATGGCAGCTATAGCCTTTCAAAATATACTTCTTAAATATTTGAAAGTCAAAATTACTGCTTGATTTATGGGCTACAGAATGGATGTTATATTAGCAGGCACAAAAACAATATTAATCTCCTTGAACATCTCCATCAGAGCTTTGGGTGACCTGTTGCATTGTCAATCATCAGCAGTATTTTGAAAGGAATCTTTTTTTTTTTTTTTGAGATGGGGAGTCTTGCTCTGTCATCAGGCTGGAGTGCAGTGGCGCAGTCTTGGCTCACTGCAACCTCTGCCTCTTGAGTTCAAGTGATTCTTCTGCCTCAGCTTCCTGAGTAGCTGGGACCACAGGCACGTGCCACCACGCCCGGCCAATTTTTGCATTTTTAGTAGAGACAGGGTTTCACCATGTTGGCCAGGATGGTCTTGATCTCTTGACCTCGTGATCCACCCACCTCAGCCTCCCAAAGTGCTGGGATTATAGGCATGAGCCACCACACCTGGCCTGAAAGGAATCTTTTTATTGAGGAGTAGTTCTCAATGGTAGGCTTAAAATATGCAGTAAACCCATGCAGTGACAGATGATGTACTGTCATTTACTGTATTTTTCCATTTGTATAGCACAGACAGAGTAGATTTAGCATAATTTTTCAGTGCTTCAGGATTTTTGGCATGGTAAATGAGCATTGGCTTTTGCTTAAAGTCACCATCTGCGTTAGCTCTTAATGAGAGTGTTAGCTTATCTTTTGAAGCTTTGGATCCAGGCATTGACTTTTCCTTCCTAGCTATGAAAGTCCTAGATGATATCTTCTTCCAATATAAACTGTTTTGTTTGCATTGAAAATCTCTTGGCCAGACGTCATGGTTCACACTTGTAATCCCAGCACTTTGGGAGGACAAGACGGGTGGGTCAACTGAGGTCAGGAGTTTGAGAGCAGCCTGGCCAACATGGTGAAAACCTGTCTTTACTAAAAATACAAAAATTAGCTGGACGTGGTGGCATGTGCCTGTAATCCCAGCTACACGGGAGGCTGAGGCAGGGGAATCACTCAAACTTGGGAGGTGGAGATTGCGGTGAGCCAAGATCATGCCGCTGCATTCCTACCTGGGCTATAGAGTAAGACTCAATCTCAAAAAAAAAAAAAAAAAAAAAAAAAAAAAAAAAAAAAAAAAAAAAAAAAAAAAAAAAAAAAAAAAAAAAAACAGAAAAAAAAAGAAATAAAACCTCTTTAATGTAGCTAACTTCGTCAATTATCTTAGCTCTATCTTCTGGATAACTTGCAGCTTCTCCATCAGCACTTGCCACTCCACCTTGTACTTTCATGTTGTTGAAGCAGCTTCTCTCTTTGAATATCATGAACCAACCTCTGTTAACTTCAAACTTTTCTTCTGTAGCTTCCTCATTCCTCTCAGCCTTCATAAAATTAAAGAGAGTTAGAACCTTCTTTGGCTTAGGGTTTGGCTTAAGGGAATACTGTAATTGGTTTGATTTTTTCCTTCAGATCACTCAAGTTTTCTTCATATCAGCAATAACGTTGTTTCATTTTGTTATCATTCATGTGTTTCCTGGAGTAACACATGATAATTATAATAGTAATTTAATTATAAATTACTGACCCAAAATAATTGTAATAGTAACATCAAAGATTGCTAATCACAGATTATCATAACAGAATAATTATGAAAACTTTGTAATATTGTGAGAATTACCAAAATGAACACAAAGTGAACACATGCTGTTAGAAAAATAACACCAGTAGACTTGTTATACATCTTAAATTTGCAAAACAGCATATTATCTGCAAAGTACAATAAGTGACATGCAATAAAGCAGGGTATACCTGTAGTTTTATAGTCATTTATGTGCCTATATTTTCCACCACAATGGGTGTACTTTAGAGAAAGTAGGCTGTCTTAAACATATATCAATCTAGCAGATTGTATGTGTCCAGTGAAAATAATTATCCTAATATGACTGGTTTTATTGAGGTTGGTTATGGGAAACAAGTACAAATTAGTTTTATGATATAGTCCAAAATGATAGCTTAGATGTTTGTTCTCTTAAGTTTTCATGTGTCTCTGCAGGGCATATTCAAATACATCTTTCCACTTAAGGAAAAACTGGTTTTCTATTTAGCCTTAAGATACTTAACAGCAGTTATATTACTATGTTCCTCCCAAAGGCATTATATTTTAACCCTGTAGAAAGATCACTGCTTTCTGTCATGATTTAAACATGTAGCAGCTGATTAGATGGTGTTTACCCAGATTAAGGCTTCATCTGCCTCTCCCAGCCCAGTGACTCCAATGTTAATCTTTGGCAACACCCTCACAGACTCACCCAGGATCAAAACTTTGCATTCTTCAATCCAATCAAGTTGACACTCAGTATTAACCATCACGTGGGGATTATGAGAACTACAATTCAAGGTGAGATTTGGGTGGGAGCACAACCAAATCGTATCACATCCCCACCTCCTTTAACTTAATTTACCACTTTGGATTATTTGACATGGTTTGTCCACTCCTTATTGTAATTCTTTGTTTTTATGGCTGCAGGATTACTTACTTTTTGTTCTCTTCCTTCTTTTCTGGTCTCTCCAGCTGAGTTGTCTTTGTAGACTTCTCTTCTTTTGTTTGTCCTGTGGCCACCAGAATGATCTCATCCAATTCCATGGCTTCAGTTACGCACTGACAACTCTTTGACCTATATGACTTGCCTTTCCGTTTTATATTTAGAATCCTACCAGACAATGCGCATCTGGAACAGTCACAGGCATCTTAGTCTTACTGTGTCTACAGCTGAATGTAATGTTTTCTCTTTCCCAAATCAATTCTGTTTCTTGTTTTTCTCAGTGTATGGTACTATTAGCCACACAACTTAATGAACCAGAAACCTGGAAATCATTATTGATTTTTCCCTCTCTATAGGCAATAAATTACCATCTGCTAGATTTTACCTCCGTAACACTTTGATCTTGTTTTCTTTTTGTATTTTTTTTTAATAACTCTTATTTTAGCTTCAGAAGTACAAGTGTAGGATTGTTTATAGGTAAACTCACGTTATAGGGATTTGTTGTACAGATTATTAATCACCCAGGCACTAAGCCTACTATCTAATAGTTATCTTTTCTACTTCTCTCCGTCCTCCATTCCCTACCCTCTAGTAGGCCCCAGTGTCTGTTGTTCCTCTCTTTGTGTTGATGACTTCTCATCATTTAGCTC